AAAATCTATGATGATGATACATTATTGTTTCAATCGTTTTCCATATAACTGGGACATTGTCAATATAATTAACGAATACTTGTATTTTAAGACAATTCTTGTCAACCATTTCTAGAAATGTCACATGCAAAATACAATGCATACATTCTACACGCAATCTGTCCTTAACCCATTTGTGTCATTAACGTACATATACGCTCAATTTTCCTAGTCACTATCACCCTTTTCATACTTGCTTATGATGCAAATTGGTTAAAATCCGTTATTAAACGATAACATACAAGCTAAGATATTTATGAAAATTCTCTTATAAATTTTGCTAAAGCTTCAAGTGACGCGGTGTTATAATCACTGTTTAAAAATAAGGTTACCAACATATCCGGTAATGTTCTCAGAAAGGCTTACGCCATGGGTCTATCTAATCTCGATCGCCTCACTCGATAGCAATGGATCGCCACGCGTTTTTACTGACCAATAAATCCGCCTGGTAAAAGCGGCGGCATGAGTCAGATTACAATCGGCATTGCGGCGTTCACAACGACTTCGCAATTGTGTATACACGCGGCCGTTGAAAGTCGAACGTTCATAAAACGCTCGCGCCGCAGCGGACGTTTTACGCTTTCGATTTCATCGCCGGTAAATTACGCGGGCTTTAACGTGCATACATATATGAAAATATTTGCGTTCTCATCCCACGGTTGAATCACTGCACGCCCGGCTCGCCGGTCGTCACGCGGATCACGCGAATTTCCCCAGGAATCATTACGCGACGGACCTCCGCAGAAATGGCAACTATGGATGTTGCGTGAAGCTCCGCAGCCTGACAATCGAAATTCATTTGTTGAAAAGCGACCCAACCCCAATTCCAATCTCCCCCTACGCTCCACGGCCCCTTTACAACCCTTACAATCCCGACGGGTCGATCGAAAATGTTGGGGACGCCGGAATTTGAAATTCGAATTTTATGCCGACTAAGTCCCATCTCCGAAAGCCATCGCCATGGGCGCAGTTTGTTTGACGGAGTCGATATTTGGAATAAAGTTCATCGATCGTTCTCTCTTTAGGCACAAATGCAGTTTGCAGGGCAGATTTTAGAGGACGCCCGCAGATGACTTACATGATTTTTTCATATGTATTCTGGGACGGTTTCGATCTGCATTGCAGAGACAGAGTTTCAAAAAATTCCGAACTGGACAATATTGCCAAACGGATTTTATTCAAAGGAAATTTGTTTGTTTGGCAGTGTTCGCATTGTTGTTGTTGTTGTTGTTGTTGTCGTTGGGGAAATATAGGATACATGCAATTTCGAATATTTTTCAGATTGTATTTTGAACGTGAGAGAGGGTAGGATATTGGAGAATACTGCTAAAAGGTTTGGAAATTTAGAAGAACTTAATTATAGTGGAAGGAAACAGTGATTATAGTAAATGAAAATTATTCATTTAGCAGCATAATGAATTTGATAGATCTAAATATTGATTTATATATTTTCCAATAAGAGGTTTAAGATCTTTTAATCTGTAAAATGATATCGAAGTTTCAAGCGACGATAAAGCTCTTAGTGTCGAAGCTTTTGAATGTAAGCTGTGTGCTCCTGGAAAAACTATCTCAATATGCCTGTATCAATGAGTATTACATTGATACTGATACACTCGTGAGTATCTTTCGAATCACTGGTGCAGTTAGCTGCAATATTAGTAAATGTTTCGAATAAATTTTCCATGCAAAAGTGTCACGTGCAGGAACTGTATTCCGGAGTACAATTTGAGTTGAAAGTAATGAAAGTACATCATCAGCTGGGAATTATCCAAATTTAGATAAAATTGTAGTTTAATTCTAATAAATCATAATTAAACATTAAGATAATTTTTTTCTAAATTATTTCAATTAATAATAAACGCTTTCCATATTTCGAATTTATTTATTAAGCTTCGAACATTAGTATACAAAAATTTAGAATTGACAAAATATTTGGCAAATCAAATTTGAGAAACAGTTTCTTTTATAATGTAATTTCTATGACAACGGTGGTCTAAAAACTAGTTTTACTCCTCGTCCTATAATTTAATTTCTCAATTTCACTTACTAAAGCTGTTACTAACAATTTACTAGAAAAATAAAAAAACTTTTTCTATGTCTAAATTTACTCTGAACCCTACAAGTTGATAACAAGAAAAATAATGTCCCATTTAAACTGAAGGGAATTAGACGACATTTATATTTTTCAAGCTATACTTGAAATCTTAGCCACGAGTCTGGCACGACATTACAAGGCAAGAGGTTAATCGCGCCAAAAATTATGAACGAAATATTTCACGAGACGCACGACATGACGTGTAATAGCAATTACTTGCGTGCTCGAGACGATTGCCGTGTTTCAATAAGCGGACCGCTTGCGTCACACGCGCCCTTGTGGCGTCGAAGCTCGTGTGCCTGTGTAAAAACTAAAATCAAGCTCGTATGTGCACCGCGATTACATCAGCTTTCACAAAAAGAACTACCTGCAGGAACGTTATTTACAAATTGCAACCTCTAGGCTGTTTTCGAAAAACATCAGTTGAGAAACTCGAAATTAGTTCACATAAACTACACAATGAACATTCCGCTCGAAAAGGTATTGTTACTCAAAGCACGGGACGATGGAAATTTCATACGATAAAAGTTTTCGCGTTTCGTGGTTTCATCATACAGGGAAAAATGAAAAGTGATATGAAAATAACATTTTGCTTGTCTTCCCGTTTCTCGAGATTTCTGGATTTAAATTCTATGAAATTGAATTCGGGAAGAATCATGTGAAATGAGATTAAAAACACAGTTTGTTGGAAAATATATATATCATATTTAGTTTCCGAATTATTATTATATTCAAATCATGCATTTAGGTTGATTTAGGATAATGTAGATCATTTAGGGTGAAACGTATGATTTTAGCAGGGAAAACATGTAAGAGGATTAAAGGTCCATTTAAAGTTTTACAGTTTAAATCAGCAAAGTACATCCGAGAAAACTTATTCTTGTATCACCATATTCGATTTTACGAACCATGCAACTTCGTGATCAGGACCCTTCTGCTTCAAGGACGGCAATTAATATTCATCGTTCTACTTTTGAACCTTACGAAATGTAAAAAGAGAAGGCAGAACGACGACTAAATTTTCCAGTAACCTCGAGCGAAATGGGTAATTTTCTTAAAATGGAGCAAGCTACTTCCACATTCGTCCAAAAGACGGAAAGTGGAAGAAACTAGCAACACGAGAGCTACAGGCTACCGTTTTGTTATTTATAATTAGGTTGCATATGTCTCTCTTTTTAAAAAGTATTTTGAACCGTCTCAGAAGAAGTCATTATGTAAAAAAGAATTATAAGGACCCTCTAATGTAGTTTAAACCTTTCAGGTTTAAATTACTTTAAAACATGTAAGTGTTTTATTTGGTTTTATTATATATTACCACAGGGAGAAAAGAACGTATTCCATTATTCATTTTCGATTCGTAATTATCCAATTAAAAAAAACTACTTTCCTATAACCCTCTATTACCAGTGACATGCCAAGAAATATATTTTCATCCCTTAATTTCCCCTCTTGTTTTCATGCTTCCCAAAAATTATCAAAATAACAAAATACGTATAGAATATTTTTCTAAAAGCTACTTGCAACATAACATAACAATATAAGACAGCATCATAATGAAACCAAGAAGAACTACCTTTTCCAAACAGCTCTACCGCAAAATGCCTCCATTCTTGATCTCATTCTACCGAGTTGTTCATAAACTCACAATGGGTTTAGCGGCGTGAAACAAAGTCCCCGTCGTGAGTATGGATCGATTTTCGCTCGACCCGTCTCTGGTGTATGTTTTGTGTAAGGTCTAGTGCAACCGATACGGCCGGACTACCCTGAAATTACGTACGTTTCCCCTTGACGAGAGATTGGAGGAGGATGAAATAATTTCCACGGAGGAAGCGTGGATGGCCACGGAATATTCACGAGGTCCGTTCACCGTCACGCGAGTAGCCACGGCAGCCCGCGAGCACAACTACCCTCCTACCCTCGCCGCCAACCACCATCCCATTCAACCGTCCTTCCCTGAATCTGTCGGTTCTCAACCCTTTTAGAGATCGACCCATGTTTGTCACCCCTGTATGTTCGATGTCGACAATTTTTCTTCTTGGTTGTGTTGTACACCGTGACCTTGGCCCTTGACAATCCCGCGTCCGTGCAGTATATTGTTCGGCCGAATGGTACCGGAAACGAGGGTCCAGTCGGCACGCAGGAAAACCGCGTGAAACTTACTGGAACTCCAACGTGGCGACAACATTGCTTTTATTTCTCTGGTTGTTCTGTTCGTTGTTGAACTGATAAATTGAAGACTATTTTAATGAACGTAAAAGGTCAACGGAACATTAATTACGAACCTGGAGTTCCGGTAACTTTCGATTTTCACGTTTACTGACAAGGAATAATCTTCATTGGCAGGGTAAAAGGTTCCATTGTATGAATAATAAGTTGACACATAAATAAATATGATTGTCGATTGGAACGTTTCATCAAACAACTGTGAGATAATACTTTTTAAGTAATGCAAAGTTGATATTATAAAAGGAGATTTGAAAAATTTTACGAGTATTTGTAGAATATTCTAATGGAACGCTGATGTGTAAGAAGATTGTTCTGCGTCGGTTGCGAATCGTTCCCGATTTACGTTCTGTGCCTGTCGTGCCTCTAATCTCTTAATGCATCTGTTTATATCCGTTCGACATGCAAAACATCCGAAAAGAAAAGTATAACAAGAAAACTGAAAGAACTAAACAAAAAACAATAGAAAAGAAATTGTCGAAAGACAGATGCAAGCGATACACGTTACTAACCGGCAACTAATGCCATTTTTCTTTGTTTGTTCTCTGTGGCGCCCGTTGTTGTATCCACCTGAACACCTGAAAAATACAAAACCACTCACCGAAAAAAACCTCTCAAAAAATCTCAAAAATTCTACCTCCAGGTCTTGAAGGTACTAATTAAATGCCTCCTTAACGAAGTTAAATAAAAAGCTTGTCTTTTTTTCTCTGCGTATGTATAACGTAGCCGCATGCTTCGCTTCGGAACAATTGTTACCGCATCCTTTCGTTTCTCTTTGTGGACATTCGTTTCGCACCCAACTCAATTATACTGTTTTTCTGTTCTTCGTTTTTCTTTCGCTTTCTCGTTCAACCCTTTCGTTCTCACTTCTGTAATTTCGTTTAACCGGGATCTGTCCCGTTTCGCAACGCCTGGAATTACGTTCCCTTGTGCGCGGACGGATCACGGTTCGCGGGAGCAACGCCATTTTGCTACTATCCCTTCTCCCGCGATAATCGGCTGGTATTATTTACGCATAATTCACCGTCACCTAAAGGAGATTTTCTAATTGACGGATTAAAGCAACGTTGTGCGGCGCGGAATTGTTTCGCGTGTCGCAACGCAATTACCGTACCGCGTCAGCCATCTTGTCGTAGCCAGTAACAAGATAAGGATCGTTGTACTTAACGACCATGTTGGAAAAGAACCTTCGACTCTTTCTCTCAATCTTTTTCTTCTTATTATTTTGTGTATTTTGTATTCTTACATTTACATATTACATTTGTACCTCTTGCCTATTCTTTTCCCTATTTCGCTATCGAACAAGCGTTGCTCCCGCAATAATCTCGCGTTAACACTACTCTCTCGGACGTTTCGCTCGTCACTTTTTACTCCAGCCGTACTAATCTACTCTTCTGTTAGGAATTATCAGTGTGTCTGCCGCATCCTCTCGAAAGAAGGACCTTTTACACCAAATGCGAGTGATCTTTCTCAAAGTCGTTAAAATCCATTGCTCCTTTACATGCATTCCCTCGAGAGGATACGCTGATACGCGTGCACGTTATTCCATTTGGCATTTTAATACTACTGGGTGTACCCGCACGGAGAATCGTCACAATGGTTATGTAACGCATGTACTAGTAGCGAGACAGTACCATAGTTTGTAGGCGTACTTATCGTAATTTGGTAGAACACGACACTGTCCAACCAGAATTTTGATCTGTGATTTTTACTATGGGATTCTGGTGGAGTTTCTTATCATTTCGAGAGACTCAGTTTTGAGGAAGTTATTAAATTCAGTTGGAAAATTTGTTGAAGTTTGTTGTAAAATTAATACATACGTAGGATATAATAAATATTTCAATGTTTTTAAGGAATCTTGAAAATGATATCTTCCACGTACCAGTATTTTCGAATATTTCTGAGCTTATTTTGTAAACTACGAATGAGAGAGAAACCTTAACTTCGTTACGCGATAAAACAGAACCTTTTGATAAGACCGTCAAAGGAAACTGCAACGCAGATTTTGTTTTCTATTGAGAAAGTAAAATCCCTGTAGTAACTGTCCTCGATAGTTTTTATGAAAAGATGCGCTTTACTGTGTGGCGTAATTAAATCTCATCTCAAACTTCTTATTTTCAAAGCAAACTGAAAAATTTCTGAAAAAGACTGTGCATTAAAAGTACCTCCAGCACTCTGAACATTACTTGTATATATTGAAATGTTTATGTTATTGCAAAAACGTATATCATTTTATCTAGGAATACATGTAGAATCGTTTCCCGTGAAAAACGTTTGTCCAGCTTTTAGAAATAACTGCTAATTTGATCTTTGTTTCAAAATTAAATTTTACATAAAATTTTGAGAAGGAACACTCTTTAGACTCACGTCAAAAGCACGAGACTCTCCACGAAAAACTTATTCAATGTCAAAATGCACAAACAATATTAAGATCTATTGGACAGTGTAATTAGTTACTTAATCACGCGTAGAAGAAAACCGATCCAACGTCCGCTTTCCGGGCATTAAAATAACTACATGAATCTACCACCTGACGCTTTTCCTTCCTCTCTGACTCCACGTATCTTTTTTTCACAACAAACACCGTATTTTAGTTCGTATAAGCGAAAAAGGGGGAGCATGAACGCAACGTATCCTTAGGATGCAGGAAGAAAATGCAAATACGTCTAACTATTATATATTAGACAACTTTAACATAAGTGCAGACAACGAGAATTCTATAATCAGTAGTCGAAGAGAAATTGATTTATCCCACCGGAAGGCCTCAACCCCTATATATGAATTCTAAATAAATCTTAAAATAAACCTCAAACCACTTTTCACAAGAAAGAAAGATCCTCCGAGGAGCATACATCAGTTTCTCCGCGCGACTATTGGATATTCGACGATCAAGGATTGTGGCAAGGATTCCTTCACCCGCAGTTGTGCTTTATGATACGTATGAGCTCAGTCGAACAAGCTGGAAAGAACGAAGTAAAATATGTAGTTACGGTAGAAATCGGAAGAATCACGGTGCCCCGTGCGAAAGGAAAAATGCTTATCACGCCACGAACACGCTTTTGGGGAATGTAGGAAAGCCGATAGAAGATATGGAGTGGAGCACAGGCGAGGCGCGAAATTAGTGTTCCGGAATTAGCGTCTGTGAGCAGACAGTAGCGCATGCATCGAGCACGGGGCCCCGTGCATAATATCTTAATTGAAATCTACCCGGCCGCAAATCCTGACGCGCCGTCCCTACCACCGCCCCATAAGCTAATTTGATTAGACACTCTCTCTATCCGTAGAGATTTCACCGTTTCTATCTCGCTCTGCCTTTTATCGCCATCCCCCGCCCTTAATTTGTACGCCTCTTGTTTCCGTTTCTCGCCGCGCAATCCCGTCGGTTTTCGTTAATCGATTCTTGATCCGAGTTAACTCAGCCTTTCGATCATTCCCACTCTCACTTCGGTTTTTTCCTAGTTTCACCGAGAAGCACTTTTCACAATCTCTTTTACTAGTCATTTTTATTCATCGCCCCCGTTTTTCTCTGCTCCTGATTTCGATCGCCACTGGCTATTTTATTTTCGCATTCATCTCGCGAACGAGAACTTTAACATTCGATTCGTCGCGATATATTCATAGGGTGTTGAATATGAATCAGTGTTTTTTATTGCGGAGGCACAAATTCGATGATGGACGGAGCTCCTCGATCACAGTGCGGTGTGTAAAAGCTTCTCACCCCTTGCGGACGAACGCCGGCGTGTTTGGGGCGTTGGGCTTTTGTGTGTAAAATAAAAAGTTACTTGTAAATAGTTCGTTCATTCGAATAGTTGAAGATTCATACACGTTTTTGTTCATTTTTAATATTCGTCACTTTGGTGTTCGATGTAGTCTTGTTGTGAAAGTATTTTAATAGTTTGAAGAATCGTCGTCCGCAAAGGGTTAACAGTAAATCGAACTTTAACGGCTTTCCTATTTGATTTCTGTAAATGATAGTTTTCCATATTTTCTTTAGCATAATCGAATTGCTTATTTATTCAATTTAGACGGTAGTGTAGATTATAGATTTATCGATCGAAGATCGAGGGGTTTAGCTCCCGTTTTCGGTGGACTCTGCTCGGAGCACGGCTTTGATGCAAGCCAATGTAAATAAAACACATTTTCTCACGTCTGTAAATAGCATCTGTAAATAACACTGATACCTCGAATATATTTGGCATAAATTCATATACAAGTGCAACTAAAGTTTCAATAATAATTGACGCGTTTCAAAGCTCACGTATCGCATCTCAGAGTCCCAATGAAACGCCACATATGCCAAATGTAGAGTTCGATATCACGTATCTGCAATTTGTTTTGCCAATGATTTCGCAGTTGACTGTGTCTTCCTTTGTTTTCTAATCGACAATCGATCGCAAGTAAAAGCAATGTATTATACATCTTTGAGATTGTCGTTGTAGAGACTATTTCCATGTGATTTCAAAAATTTTGTATATATCTGGTAAATTTACACTAAAAGTCGTCCCATGTTTACCATTTTCTCATGACCACGCTCGAACTTCACTGTTCGTTTATTTTCTACGTTTTCCGGATCGTCATCTTCGTCTTCATTCATCCCCCACCCAGCCCCACCCCTTTCAGTTTCTCTCTTCCTGCTCTTTATCACGGTCCACACAATAGAGAGACTGGAAGGCATTGTTCCCGGATCAGATGAGCATTAATTTCTATCTTTTCTCAGACAATGGCGGCGACGAAGAGGAACACGGCTGGTCTAACATCGGCGGTGCCCAGAGAAACATTGAACAACGAGGATCTGGTAAGAATTCGTCCTTTAATCAGCGCCCTTATAGGCATCATCGTGTCATCTATCGCGCCTCCTCTATCTAACGTAAATCGAGTGGAATTCCTTATCGTAATTATCAGGAAGGGAATAATCGAGCGTGTCGTCTCGCGCGTGAAAAACGATCGCGTGCGGTCGAGCCCTTTCCCCGCGGGAAGCTATCGTGAACCTTGAAACGTCACCGGGAAGAATTTAATCTGCCATCGAGATTACATTTCTCGACATTTTCCTTCGTTACTTTTATTTTTTTATTTATTCGCGCGCAAAGGAAGATTCCAGCAAAAAGTGGGAATCGGTGCGAACGATCGTTTCTCATCGCACGGACCATCGAGGAAGAACGTTATCGAGACGGAATATAGATTCGGTACGCAGATGCGACGGAAACGAGACGCACCATCGAAGGAATCAGTTTTCCATCGATGCTGGAAACGTCGTCCGGCCACTTAGCACTGGACCTGTCCCAACGGCACGGTGAAAATCGTTCACTGCACGCTGCTAGATCGAAATTAATGGGACATTCCCGCGGAATCGGGTATATCTTTACCTGCGCTAGAGTTCGTTAAAGAGATCTCAAAAGACAGTTTTCGTTCTTACAAGCGATACAGTTGTCGCTAAATTACGGGGACGAGTTTCTTTAACTGTCGATCAGAAGATCGCGCGAGAGCGATAGACTGCTACGGTTTTGTCGGAGGACGAAAATAGAATCAGAACAAGTATTTAATAGAATCGTGACAAAAATAATAGAAATGTGGTCAGTTTGAAGTTGTAAGGAGAATATTTATGGAAAAGAGAGTTCATGTATTTTGAAAAGTAGTTAAAATATTGTTTTACACACTGGACACGTTGAAAATTAATCGATGCTGTGGCTGCTTTTGTACTTGATAATAAATTACTTCTTGGGTAGTATCTTCCACATTTCTACACAATTTATCAATTATTACGATATGTATTGTCTTTCATCTTTTATTGAGTATTCTTTATGAAAGTAATGTTAGCAATGCATAGCAGGACTGATTTGAAATTGTAAGAAATCTAAATGCATATTTTCAGTACACCGTACCTAACAGACTTGCAAAGTAGTAGATAATGTGGATTTTGGGTATCACTATAGATCACACTGAAATCTCTTGAACACTTACGAAAATATTGGGTATAACGAAAGATTCTGGAAAGTTTCAGATTCAGAAACCCACCAGGTTTCCACTGTTCTTTTAAGATCCCTAAAATCCCAGGATCTAAAAGAGTCTCTGAAAATCTCAAATCTCTTAGAACATAGCTTCTTGAAAAGTTAAGATCTTTTACCTGTTCAATCGAAACTGTAAGGTCTTTCAACGTTGACACTGTTGAGTCTGTTGGATCTTTTACTGTTTACACTAAATCAATCGGATTTTCTATTTCTTATATGGAAATTGTCGAACATTCGATCATTTATATTATTTTTATCGAGTCTTTTGCCGTTTATAAGTGAAACAACGTAATCATTCAATTTACTTATTTTAATTACCTCAGCCTGTGCATCTGATCCATGAGACACTACAAATGTCAATATTGAATTCATGCTATATAAACATATCAAATTTTGTCAATTTTCTAATCACCGTTTCTGCCATTCATATCAACTTGTTTAGATTTCTGATATTATATCAAACTAAATGAGATCTATGCAAAATCAAGTACAGTGTCTAACGTGTTCAAAAAAGTACATATAACGTGTCAAATGAAAATAACGCAAATTCAGTGAGTTCATCAAATTTAATTATCAGTCTGAATAAATTTATATTACTTACAGTCTACATTGTTAGCTAACAAACTAATCAAGCGTACAGAATCTCTATAACTAAACTGACCGCATTTGAACAATTCGATAGAAACATATCAAACAAGAATTCCAATCCGACGAGGAAAGAAAAACAAGAAGAATCGCCAACAACGTGTTAGGTGGGTCGCCGAATTGGCAGCCCGTGTCAGGATAAAGATTAAGATCCATGCTCATCTCTAGAACGTAAGACACGCCTCATCTAACTATAAGCTGCGACATATATCAACGAGCATCCGGTGAAGGCTCTACGCCGAGCTGAACTTTAACCTCTGATAACTTTTTTTCTTTTCACATGAACTGTGCTGCATTTTATCCTCATTTCCGCGCTATTTTCTTTCACGTAAGTGTGGCCCAACCTCTGTCTTTCTTTCTTTCTTTCTCTACTTTCTCTCTTACATCTATCTTTCTCTTTCTTTCTTCTTTTCGAAACTTT